GGGACAAATTTCTAAATTTGATTTTGCTGCTCTTGAAAGAGGATAATCACTGATGCAGCTGAAAGGAAAAACATCCAATCGATCTATTCACATTTTTCTGGATGGATTGATGGATGAATGAATGAAACTGAAATTGTGTGTATACTAGGGAGGCACGATATATTGCTGTAGACATCAGAATTGGCTGTTATTTATCCTTTTTTTTAAATATAAATTAATGTCTAACGACCCATAAATATATCAGTTTATTTTGGTTTTATTGTGTTCTCAATTATAGGAAAGCATTAAATAAAAATAAAAACCCTATTGAAAGCGTTTGTGTCACGTAACTGTAGGTCCATCAGCCACCACTCTAGAGTGTCACCACCAACTTTCATCATAAAGTTAAACCATTGGGCAAAACTACACCTAAATGACAAAAAATTGGCTTAAGTGCAAATATTAATGAATGCAATTTTTCCCATTCAGAGAACTGTTACCAGTTTGGTTCCTGATTGGCAACAAAAAAGGAAATTTGAAAAAGCTTAAATGGTTTTATTTCATTTATTCACTGTAACAAAAAAGATTTATTGTAAAAAGCCAAAAAATGATTAGGTCATTGATGAAGTTTGGCGTGCATCAGTAGCCGTAATAATAAAGAACTGCAAAAGTTTTCTGTAACAGAAAGTCGTTACCTGTGCTGACATGCAGGAAGAGTCAGAGAGCACTTTGCAAGATTTAACTTTACAGCATTTCACTCACATCTTTTAGGTGTACAGTGCATAAAAAAAGACTACGAGGAACTGAGCTACCAGGGCATCACAAGGGCCATGTAATGGTCAGACACTACCATCTTAAAGCACAGTTGAATTAAATGCTTCTTTACCTTTGTGCTTTTTTAACTAGTTTGTAATTTGTTCTAAACTCATTATGCTACTTTTTAAAAACATACGATTTTTCATATGTGGTAATTTGCCTTTACAATCCGCTTGTAACTCTTTGACTTTCATGTTGCAGCTGGTACATCTGAATTTTCTCACTAAGGAAAAAACAAGGTTCTCTATTTACTTACTGGATTGCTGATAGATCGAAAAAGCTGACGTCACCTGCCGCCATCTTGGTACTCCCCAATCTCATGGAGTTGTGCCAAAAATGCCTGTACTTTAAAGTAATTACCATAAAATTCTAATCAATACATGTATTTTACATGTATATCATCAATTTAGTACTTTTAGCACATCATCAGATAGTGCGAGATTGTGTTTAATATTGTTAAAATCTAAGTACAGTATTATTATGCTCCATTAACACAAATTTTGTTGTGATAAATTTGTATAATATGTTATATTACGGTACATGATTTAAAGACTTCCTAGACTTCATACTGAATATGCAATGTGATGTGCCTATTTTTTTTACCACAAATTACAGTAATCTATGATGCTATGAAACAACAAGTATGTGTCAAAGTGATGACTTTATCTTTATTTTAAAAGTCTTAAACCCCCCTGAAAATTTGAACATCGTCGCTGTTCAATGCTGTAGCGCACGTATTGTTGACAACCAGTCTAACTAGGGAGTACCAATATGTTGCCTGGTGACTTCACAGCACCGTGTACCACCAACGGCCTATCAGCAATCCTGTGAAAAATTAGAGATCAGTGGGAAAAACCAAGGACATTTCTGTTCTACTCTAGACTAGTAGTTCTCTGTTCTGGTCCTCAGTTATCAATGCCCTGCATGTTTAAGGTTTATCTTCGCAGCCACACACCTGAGTTATATCAAAGGATGATTATAACAGACTTCTGCAGCACCTGGATGCTGCTGAGGTTGTCATGAAATCCTTTGAAAATTGGTGTTGCAACAGAAAGACATCTAAAACATGCAGGGCAGCAGTACTTGAGGAGCAGGTTTGAGAATTACTGTTCTAGACAAAACAGGCCAGATATTATTCATCTACATTACAAATCTTTTATTCACATGTGAAACAGAAAGATACAATTGAGATGAATGAGTCGACTCAAGCCCTGGCTCCAGCTTTCTGTGT